TTGGCTTCACAGCAAACATTCTTTGTCTAAGTTTCTTCACTGCGACAATGTTACATAAAAAAAGAAAAGAAATTCAATGATAGGTTCAACTTTTTCACTTTTCCTTTACTAAATAGGGATGAAGTCATCAATCGGTTTTCTTTGTGAAAATAAAAAATATATATATTCTTTATTTTCCTTGTTTTTTATTATTATTTATTTATATTTGATGATGTCAACAATAGTAGAGATAAACGGCCGGTTTGTTGGTTATGTGAGGCCCGACCCGATGAATGTTCTTTTTTTTGGGAGAGAGAGAGAGAGAGAGAGAGAGAGAGAGAGAGAGAGAGAGAGAGAGAGAGAGAGAGAGAGAGAGAGAGAGAGAGAGAGAGAGAGAGAGAGAGAGCGCCATCATCATATTATTTCCAACCCATACGCAATACGCTATCACATTATCATCACGTATGTCCACCAGAACCGCCGTGATCACAAACGAGCCACGCCCCCTCCTCGAACGCCAAGGACGCCGTCTGGGGCCCTCACCCGAGACTGTCTGACTGCTCGGTCGGGCAGTGTGTGTGTTTGGGGGGGGGGGGGGGTCTATGATTTTACGTGGCTCTCTCTACACTTGTTAAGATCGGGTCAGCTGAGAAAGCGCGTGGCTCACTTTGAATTTACGAAAAAGCTGCGATAGACAAGCAGGAAACGTCCCAATTAACGCTTGGCAATCATAAAGATAAGGGTAGGAAAGTATTCCAAATAATTACCGGCTCTCGACAGCCTAACGGGCGCAAAGCGAGACTAACCAACCCCCATGGCAACGTCGACCAACGCTTGGATGTGGGATCCTGGGCCGGTAATTACGAGGTCATGACATTTTCTTTGGTGGTTTTACTTAGGTGTCCTAAAAGCAGTCGTTGACTAAAATATGTCTATGAATCAATTTGAAGATTCCTGTGATTTCGTCTATGTCTAGCACTGTGTCACATTCCTAAGCTATTTCATTGGAACTAATGTTTACATTTTAGAAGACTCTATCATGATAATTCAGTGTAAAAGTGACCTAAAACTACAACTGCAGTGAATATCAAATATTTAATGACTTTAATATTACATATGAAATATATTTTATAATTAAGTGGCTTCCTCTACATTTATTAAGATCGCGTCAGCTGAGAAAGCGCGCGGCGCCATTTGTTTTTATCTACGAGAAAACTGCGATAGACAAGCAGGGAACTTTAGAAGACTCTATCAATTAACGTTTGACAATAATCAAAATAGGGATAGGAAAGTATTCCATATAAATTCTGATGCGGAGCTATCTGCTACAATAAACCTCTGTAAGTCTTTACAGTCAATGTTCCCTCGAGAGTTGTCTCGAGGATTTCCTGTGAGAAAAAAACCTGGATACTTTTATCTGACATTTGACTGGAAAGAATGCAAGCTCTGCCATTTTGGGAAATAATACACTATTAAATCTATAATAATTAATAATGTCAATCGACTGTGATAGTCTAGTTTAGGCATTGCAACGCAGTCATTTCACACTCAAAAATATGTTAAGTAATTCTCTGTCTCTCTCCTACACTGAAGACAGTAAGCGGTTATTACACGATCAGTTCTTTGAATGCTCAACACGCATTAAAGCCTTGTTAGAGAGAGGTGCGCTCTTCGCCCCAGAACGAAGTCGCTCTATCCTGCCGTGTGGTGTTCCATGGTCTCCCTTTGAGCTGGTGACGCATTGTTAGCCTGGAACAAGCGAGACGCCAATATAAAACTTTGGCTTTAGAGGAATCATAGGAAACGGGAACAAGAGAATGTACCTGAACAACATCTTGATAAAATCTATATATGTGTATCATGATCTTGAATTTGCAGGAAATAACATCTTAATCCTATTCTTGGAACTAAAAGCAACTGTATTGCTAATTTTGATACTGGTGGACATTCCATTTATATGTACGAGTACAATATAGTTTTCATATTTTTTTTCTTTCTTTTATATGTCGCAGATCATAATAAACATGTATACGTTGCACTGTTAGGTATCAACAAAATTTTTAAAATGTGTGAACATAAGCTCACAGATCTCAAGACATGACATGAATATTGGTTTACTTTAGTTTAATTCTTTGTTTAGCAGCCTGGCTTACTGCACAGGCGTGGGCAAGCTGTGGTACATTTGATGCTTGGTCAAGGCATTACATACAAGCATTATGTTTGAAATGTAGGCTCTAACATTATTATAATATGTAATATATCAGTTAAAAGAAAAGAACCATTACATTCTTTATCTACTCATAGACCAAGCCGATGTACAGCTTGGTCGCGGAAAGGTACTGTTAAGTTTGTTATGTGAAAATTGATAGTTGCACATACAACTTTTCTTTTAAGGCTTCCCTTTAGTTGGAAACGCTGCAAAAGCGATCTACTTCAGTGGACGGGCGATACTTGTCCCAAGAGATAATAAGCATTCATTATCATACAAAGTCGACTTAAAATGAGTGTAGAATACAGATAGATACATGTAGAGCAATAAAGCGCGCGCGCGTGCGTGTGTATGTGTGTGAGAGAGAGAGAGAACGTGTATGTGTGAGAGAGATAATAAATAGAGCAAAAGACAGGGAGGGGGGGGGGGAGGTAGTTGTTGGACAATAATAGGACTGGATATGGAGTTAAAAAGTTAACATGGGTATACCTTGAAGGTAAAAAGAAGAGGATAACACCCTCGTATTATTTTTATTTATCTATTCATTTATTTTATTTTTTCATTTAATTAATTAATTAATTAATTTTTATTTATATTTTTGTGTTGTTAAGCCATTGAAAATATGAAAGGGAATTATATAATCTCATTCATTCGGCAATCATTTGAGTGACAGGGTATATGATTATATAGCCAAGGCGGCAGGGGAACCAACCACAAAATAACCACACGGTATCCGATATGTGGTCCTGTTTCCTGCTCATGATCCATAGTGTAAAAAGAATAAAATAAATAAAGATTTTCCACCTACTGTGTGGATGAAAGAATAGAGATGGATTTTCTTTCCTTTTTTTCTCTCATTCTGTATTCTCTTATCTGTTTATTTGGCTTTGTTTATATTCCTACTTTCTCTTTCTCTTACTCTACCTATCTTTATCATTTATCTATCTTTCCACCGTTTTTTCTTCCCTTTTCTCTTTCTTTCGATCCACTTACCCACCTAACAACCTGCCTATATATGTTAGTCGATCTATTCCTATTTTTCCTCTTGTATTTCTCTCTCTCTCTCTCTCTCTCTCTCTCTCTCTCTCTCTCTCTCTCTCTCTCTCTCTCTCTCTCTCTCTATATATATATATATATATATATATATATATATATATATATATGCAAATCAGCACACGATATGTAGGTATGGGTAGATAGAGAGAGAGAGACAAAAGAAAGATAAATAAATAGGTTAAGAGAGAAGGCAGAAAGAACATTAAAAAAAGAGAGGGAATAGATGAACAACATGTCCAGAAAGAGTTGAATGTAAAGAAATAAGCAGGAAGACATGCTCAAGTTTGATGGAAAAAATCTTTTGAATAAAAACAGCTTATTATGTCACTGGATCATAAAAAACAAAAAACATCATAACAAGAAAATTACAATAGGGAGGAGACAGAAGTCAGGACATTTTCGTTTTTCTCTTATAGAACAAATGTGACCATTTTTTCTCGGGAAATTCTTAGTTGAGACGACAGAAACTAGTGCATTTCGGACTCTGACAGTTCATACTCTCTGTTATTTAATCAGTTATTGTTCCTGCACCTCACAATATCTGATCTTTAACTGTCAGCATAGACATAAATTCATGGGTAAAATAAATAGTATCTAGTATTTGGTTTCTGTAATTTCAGAACTACATAATATTCCACTCCTGTTTGTATTTGATGCCAACGCACAGGGGGACTGAAAGCAATACAGAGACTCAACAAGATTTCAGGTTAAGTACATAGGCATGGCTGAATTCGAGCCATGTGCGTGAAGAGGGCATGGCAAAGGAAACAGTGAAGGCAAGGGAAGTATTCTGAAAAGAGGAACTACTTGATAACTAGTTCGAGGGCGAGTGGATAGCTTCACAGCAGAAGTTGCGTGGGCCTCTCCGTGGTGGTGGAGAGTCCGAAGAAGTCCATATCCCTGAGCTGGTTCATGAAGGTGACCACGTGAGGCATGACCCTCTCGGCGGCGTTGAAGCGGTGGTACGTGTCGTCCGGGATCTTGGTGCCCTCCACCTTCTCCGTGGCCTCCATGACCTTGCGTGTGATGGGTAAGAACTCTGTCATGACCCGATTGATGATCTGGGGTTCACTGGCCTTGCCCCGAGCCTGCGTTATCTTGCTGAAGACCTCGACGATGTCCGGCAGCACGTCGATGGTGGCGCCGACGATGTTCTCGTAGTCGCCCAGGTCACGAGGGCTCTCGGGCTGCAGGACGCCCAGGGCTTGGTACCTCTGCGGGGCCGCCCTTGAGAGGCAGAGCAGGGTGGTTGCGACCAAGAGGACCTGAGGGAGACGCGAGAGAGCGTTACACGAAGCCAGTGACGAAGCGATCATGTTGGAGACACGTTTCAAGATGCACGAGAGACTGAATTCGCTTCATTCATCACTCGCAACTTTCATCATATCTCTATTCACTACTTGCGCGGTCGATCAAACACACACTTGCGTATCTATAAACGGATGCATTAATGAATAACATTTCGTATCTGTGTATGGTTATTCGGCTATATATGCAACCATATATATAATGATATTCTATGCACCACACACACACACACACACACACACACACACACACACACACACACACACACACACACACACACACACACAACACACATATATATATATATATATAATATATATATATATAACATATATATACTATATACCGTATATATAATGATAATCTATGCACCAATAACGAGAAGACGGAAAAACGGACGCGATTTTAGCGGATGACATATGCGAGCGAAATCGAACAAGACAATCAA